CAGGGAGGGGGAGAGAGAGATGCCGATTGGAAACGCTGCCTTCCTGCCGTTCGGACACGGCTGGCACACGGCGGTGGCACTGTCTGGCTGGATTAAGTGCCGGCTCGCTGAATGGTAAATCTTCAGGACAACCTGGAGTGAGTCGGGATAGAGTATATTTTTAGGCTCTCCTATCTGTGCGGGTTACATTAAGTCCAGGGAGGGGGAATAAAAGGATTAACCATTGCAGGTTTGTAGGATTTGTCACCTTTAAACAGACCAAGACGCTAGTCCATTGCAAGGTTACCCCCCAAGCACTCCTGGTACCTGTCTGTACAGGTGCTCAAGGATACAACAGCCGCGGCCACGGCCAAGGATACAACAGCTGTCGCGATGATTGTTGTAGAAATAATCATCTTGCTTTGTCACGGTATTGTACAGCTCCGTCAGATTGAAGCGAGCATCCGTCGTGCATGCGGTACAACACCAAGCACAAAACTGAGCAAAACAAGGCCAGCGGCGTTGGGTCGAGTAGCCTGGAGCACCGCGCGGGGCCGGTTGGGAATGGGCAGACAGAAAGCCGGTGTCTCGCTGGGTTACACGTGACACGCAGTGGGGAAACCGGGGTGATTGCACAGTGCTGACGGGTGTGGTGGCTTTTGCAATCCTCGCTTTTTCGTCTTGAGTGCCCCGGGCCTGTCCTTCGCAGGAGCCAGGAACCAGCCCTGGGTGCAGTTCCAGAGGAAGGCGGTCCGCCTGCCGCTCAACTCCACCTACACAGAGCTGTCCGCGGTGCTGACCTCGGCCAAGAGCCAGTACGAGATCGGGGGCTTCCCCTACCTCCTTGGCCAGGAGAGCAACGGCACAGGTGAGGGGGCGGGGAGCACAGCTGCACCGCAGGGCTGCAGCCCTCCGGAAACTCATCACTTCATCTTTTACTTTCCCGACCTCTGTTCCAACAAATAAAATAGCTATCTTAGATGATACAGATGGTTAACACGTTCATGCAAACGATTAAGTAGACAAATTCCAGCGCACAGTTTTTAAGTCTTAATCTTTTTTTATAAAAACGGACCAGTAAAATCTGCCCAAGATGGCTGGAGCTGCCCACCTCTGATATTTCTGTTCAACAGTCTGTGTTTGACTGTCGGTTTTAATCAAAGCGACTTGACATTTTGCCCTAGTGTATACGGCTGATTATTTTACTGGAGGACCTCCAGTGCAGTACCTCGCTCCATGGTGCGACAGCAGTGCCTCAGCTGGGATTCGAACCCACAACCTCCCAGTTACAAGTCTAGAATCCTGACTGCCCCATGTGCTGTATGTGTTATATGCTCTGGTAAGAGGGTGATGTAGGCAGCTCAATGAGAGAATGATGAAATGGACACATGTGCAGTGATTAGCATGTGGTGCATTGTGGGAAGCTTCTGGCATGGGTTTGCTTGTCCGCTCTGTGCGTCCAGGGGGGAATGGCAGCTGGCTGGACCTGACGGCAGTGGCGGCGGTCAGCGCCCACCTCTTCACCCGGAATGGGACGCTGATCCAGGTGTCGGACCCCGTCCACATCTCCATCCCCATGCCCAGCGACAGCCCCGTGAGGGTGGCCACCAGCATCCCCGCCTGGAGGTTCGACTCCAAGACAGGTAGGTCAGAGGTCACGGAGCCGGGAGCAGAGGGTTTTGCTGCAGAGCCAGGTCTGCTGCTGGTTTCCTGAAATCGGACGCCATGCGAAAAGGTGCAATGCAGGCTGGATGTTCCTCATGGCCTCCTCTCGCTTCTGTCCCTGCTTTACATTCCTCTTACCTAGAGGCTAGATTATTTAAAAACCTCTTTGAGCTTAGCCTCCGGAAAAGATGAAACCCAAATTCAGGAACATTCCTCGCAATTCCACAAGGTTAAATTTCATTTTCGATCGACGGACGAATTCTTGTGATCTGTAAAAGAAAAAACAGAAGAAGCGCTTGAAACGCAGCCTAAAACTTGCAAGAGTAACGTGAGGAGTTTGGCTTGATCTTGTGAGGGGGAGTGAGATGATCGTTTGTTTGCGGGGATCAGAGCAGTTCAATTTACCGCGCAGACAGCTGGAAGAACACAATGTCTTGACTCTGTCCTGTACTTCGGAAATTAATTAAACTCATAAAAATAAAAACACCAGTGGAAGACAGGATCATATAATCAAAGAACCTTCGTTAAATCATGGGTGCATGAAGAATATTTATAGTTTTGAAGTGGAGCTGCTTCTGTCCTTCTGAAGAGTTAACTTGAGACAGCCTGGAGCGTTCGCAAGTCTGAAAGCTGTCTTATGTAAGCACTTAGGCTTCAAATTAGGCTCTGCCGAAGGACAATTTGTACAGACCATTGGTAGTGCTCTCACTCTCCATCTGTGCATCTGTTTACTGAGACCTGTAGAATTTGGATCAGAGAGCTGCTGTTGTTTTCAGGTTTCCTGGAGACGCTGGGCTTGTTTATTCCAGTTGCTGTTGGAAACAGGTGATGAGCAGTTCGCCCTGCGTGACTATCAATCTGATTAACAGCCTCGGCACTCTGTTATTTATACATATTGTGTAGATCGAAGGAAGGTCACGTGTATATGGTCGTTCCCAGGTATTCGGGTCTGCCTTCTCCCAGCGCAGGCCTTTTAGATAGGCCACTGTTGCCGCGGTAACCGGCTCTGCACAGGAGATGAGATGAGAGAGTGGAGCGGACTGTGGTTGGACTCTGGCAGGCTGGGCGTGTGATAGTAGCTAATTGATCCCAGGATCCGTTTCTTGAAGGAGGCCAGGGTAGCCACATGGCTTGTCGTTTGTTCCACACTCCCACAACTCTTTGTGTAAGGAAGTGCCTGTGCTGTTCGCGCTTGTAAATGCATACATCTGTGCAGTTTTCACTGGTGTCCTCTGGTTCACCTCTCACTGCTCTTTTTGAAGAAGTCTGCTGGGTTCGTCACTGGCTTGCTTTTAGGATTTTAAATGCTTGTATCAGCTTCTCTCGTTGTCTTTTGTGCCCAAGACTAAGCAGGTTCTTTTATTTCAGGATGTGAGTGCAGAACAGCTGAACCTTAAACCCCCTGGAAGTATGTGTGCTGAGCTCTGGCCTGATTCCAGAGCAGCAATAAATTTTCTATAACCTGGTGACCCAGTGTGTCGAGGGTATTCTTAGTGAGGCCTTACTGCTCCATTGTATATTATGTCAATAACATTCCCTGCTGTGAAGTCTGTGCTTTTATGTATATATCCAAACATTTTGTTCACCCATTTTTTCTCTACATAATTTAACCGGTCTGAATATAATGTGTCCTTTTGTGTTGTTTATTTTAGACAGTGATCAATAAATTAAGCATCCCTAGAATTTGCAGGAGGGATGGTATAGTGAATTGTTTATCAGCTATAAACAATGGTGGGCATGAGCTAACGGCAGGTGTCTATGACATGGCTGTGTAGGAATCACATCCTGTAAGAAATATAGCACAATGCAAAGTACGAATCCTGGAGTGCATTAGACGAGAAGCCTGATATCATAGGTTTCAACACAAAATGCCGCCATTGTTTAAGAAATGTATTTGCAGAGGGATTATCTTGCAGGCTGACTTTCCACGTTTTGTCCGACAGCATGGTCGTTTGTCTGCAGAAACGAGTGTGGTTTTTGGGGGGGGGGGGGGTGTTTCAGGAAAGTTGAACAGGCAAAGGGTTAAACTGGACTATTTGGTACAAATGAATAACTTGCGTGAGAGAGAATAAAGGAGAACTATAAGAAGCCAGACAGCAGGAACAAGTATTCTTCTGCATCAAAACATTAGTCACAGAACCAAGGTCAGAAGAGCTGGAAAATCACGAGTATGTGCCTCTTCCTGTTATCTACCCTGAGAAACATAACGTTACTTGTGTGTTAGCCGCTGAATGCTTGCATAATGCATCCATCTCCTGCAGTGGCTCCAGTGCATTCTAAAACGTTGAGGTTTGAAGACAGTTCAACTGAGACTTATTCTCTCCCCTTGAAGTTCGGAGACCAGGAACCAGCTGAGCTGTGTTTGAAACAGCTTCAGTGAATACATTTGAGCACATTCCACACTCCCGCTGTTTGAGATGAGAGAGACGGGCGATAGGTGAGAGTCTGGGGGGGAGGGGAGGTGGGGGGACAGGCATCTTGCGCTGGGTTTTCACCGGGCATGGATCGCCTTGCCAGCCGCCTGGTGGTGTTCAGCAGGCCGAGACCGACTCCTCCAGGGCTGCGCTCTGTGTGGGAGGAGATCTGGGGAACTGGCTGAGCTGGATGAGCTGCAGCTGGTGGTCTCTCTTCTCTGGAAGCTGTTTGTGGTTTAGGGTTCCTACAGGAATTCCCAGACATGCAAGATTGCACACATGCTTGAAAGCTGAGGGAGATGGGGGAAGCTCATTTGAAACTTTAATTGCAACTTTGCAAAACGTCACACAGCGACATCTGTGCACAGTAATTAATTGAAGTTGTCATTATTTGTTATGGTGTTTAACTTTCTTGTGTGTTGGTATTTCACTTTTACAACCGGCACAGCACATGCTAGATGGGACTATAATTACATTGCCCAGTGCTGCTGCATTTCAGTAACTAAACTACTTAGCTGGCCAATTCACTGGTCTGAGAATGAAGGCGAATGCCTTACTCAAAATAAAAATATGGCTTTTTTTATTATTACTCAAAGATAGCCTGATGGGCTTCTTAAAAACATAAACCAGAGTACATAGAGATGGATTTGCATTTAAAATTAGAGGGCATTGAAAATGGAGAAGGGGGGGGAGAGGGAACTTCTTTACACAAAGGGTTGCGGGGGTCTGGAACAAGATTCGTTCTTGAAACTGAAGCTCTGGTTTCTTTCAGGACACAGCTGGGTGACATCCCCTGATCAATTAGCCATAATTCATACCAGGTGCACCAGATGGAAAATCTTTTTTTACTTGTATTTTTTTTATAATCATACAAATCAGAAATAAAAAACAATCGACAGTCATCTCAAAACATCAAGTATTACAAATATAAATGAGTATAAAGTGTCGTTTATCATTGTGACAGAGGGTATAGTTCTGGGGAGAAAGGAGGGTGGAGTAAAAAGAACAAACTTCAAAAACATAAAATCATTGTAATTAGGTAATATAATTGATCCAGCTCTCCTGAAATCTCGCAAAGACCTCCTTCTGGAGTCTTAACTGGTTAATTTTTCCATTTCATAAATCTCTGAAACAATAACAATCAAGTTTTCTTTGGTTGGGGGATCTCTTTGTAGCAATCTATGTGCTATAGCTAAAAATACCTTAAGCAAGTATTTATCTCTTCCAGCTTCCCCTACTCTCATCAATGTGCTGCTTAGGGGCCAATCCCCCCTTAGAAACCTGTACACATCTGGAGCAGTCTGAGTGAAATCCCTTTAAAAACACAACAGCAGAGCCCAGCGCATGATTCCAACCCACACCTGCCCCTTTTACAGTACACAGACATAACCACTACTCTGCACTCCTGCCTAGTGCAGAGTTTGAAATAGTTCCTTTTATACCTGATTTGTTAAGGGAGCACTACTTCCAACCTGAGTGGTGCAGTACCTTGCAGTACTCCTGGAAAGGAACAAGTAATAGGTTTATTCCCTGCTGAAAAGAGAAAGAAAACACAACAAGAAAGACAGGGCAGTAGGCAAAGGTAATGTAGCAGGAGAACAAGAGCTGGGAGAGAGGAGGAGCAGGAGGCAGGAGCAGGGGACAGACAGAGTGGCCAGTCAGGTAGTGTGAAGGCAGGATAGGTGAAGAGGGGTGTGAAATGAAACCTACGATGAATAGAGAGAATTTAGAAGAAAATCAGTCTTGTCATTGAGAGAAGGGGAAAGGTGTGATCCTAGCTGCAGGATCATTTTAGTTTCTGCAGTCTTTCTGATGTGGGAGTTAGGAAACCCATCTTTGAGAACACAGACGGAGAGATCAGTGTGATCATGGCCGTCAGAGCTGAAATGAGAAACAATAGGCTTGGAGAAATACCTCTGGAAAGCCACCACCATTTAATAATCTTTTGAAATGGATATTAATATGCTCTGTATGAGTCGATAAAGATTGGGCATGAATGTCCTTGAATTCTGACTGAGCCACTACCACTCCTCGGCCAGTAGAGGGAGCTCTCCATCGACTTGTGTGTGTGTGTGTACTGCCTTTCTGTGTTCCACAGAGTTAAAACTAAGGGCAGACTCACATTGCCTCTGTCATCTGAAGGCAAGCTTTTGTGCATTTTCTTTGAGCAAGCACAGATTGTGCAAAAGGGAAAAAGATCTAACCTAGGCCTGTCCTTAAGATATTCAATACCGGAAGAGTTTGGGAAAACCCCTGGCTTCTGCTGACAAAGAGCTTCCTACTTAGTGGTGCACAGCACCCTCATGTGGTGGGTTTCTGAAATAGCAGCCTTCAGAGCATCCTCACAGGTCTCTGACATGGTTTCCTGCTCACACTGGGAGATATTATTTTACTGTATTGCCACAATGAGGTCATGGTGAATTGAAGAAGACTGCCCTTTCTGCAAAGGTAGAGCTTATATTTTGCCCCTCCCAATTAGAAGCTTTCTCTTGATGTTTAGGAACACCTCAGAAAAAAAGAGTGACATTTTGTGAAGGTGTGTAGATTAGACCCGAGGCGCAGTCACAGGAAAACAGTGTCCCTAGTGGCCAGTCTGCCTTTCCAACAGAAGCGTGAGCAGTGAGGGTGTGAAAGAGCCTAGTCTGTGGTTCTGCTGTTCAGTGTGTGTCTGGTATGACGTACATAGTGGCTACAGTCACCGATATAGGTAGCCCGAGCACGCACCTGGCTTTATTTGACATTTCTGTTGTATATAATTTTGAGTTGGCTTCATTCCCTTATTCACTTCCTAGATTGTAGGTTTCAGCTAAAAAAACATGCTATGAAGAATACAGTGGACAGTGGCTGAATGCCTTCATGCATGAAACAATTGTATTTTACTGTATCTCCTACAGCACAGTGAAAGGACCTGTCCTTTCTCCGGTACAGTGTCAGACTGGTTCCAGCTCTCTAGAACACACTTCATATTCACAGCCCCTCCTCTGCACACGACCGGCCTGACCAGCACTCCTGCCTGCAGCTGTTGGGCTGATTGCAAAAAAAATAATGATGGCTTTGCAAGAGGAACCGGAATCACACTGAAAGATATTTGTGCTTCCATATCTTTTTTTTTTTTCTGGAAATGATTGCAGTGCTGCTAGGGGAGTGGGTGGAGGAGTTTAACCATTTGCTGCCTGGGGAGATGTCAACAGCCTGAGCCAAATTCATTATAAATCTGGATTTTTTTTATGGCAAGTGAATTGCATTGATCTCGCAGACAGGGAACCTGTAGGGGCTGTATTGTCTCAGACAGGGGAACTTCACTGGTAGATGGATGGGAGATGTTAGCAGAGACAGTCTGGTATCTGAGGAGACCGGCACATAGATTTTCCACTGTGAAAGCCACGGTGAGTGATCATATGAGATCAGATGTGCGTTTAGCAGCCGATATAAAACCCACTACTGGTTTAATAATGCAAAACAAGATTGTTCTTTGCACTATCAGGCCTTTAGTGGTGTTTCTTAAAAGTAGGTGTTGGGAAATTGAGAAGCACCAAGACAGGTTTTCTAGTACCAGATAAAGGAACATAATTATGTTTTATTAATGAGTTATTATGCATTGTCAAATGGATTATGTCAAGTATTTATGAAGTAACATTAATGTTCTCCATTTACTTTAAGTACTGTAACAAGGGCGACCTGACAATACAAATTAAGCTGCTGCTCATCGTTTCACAAGACACATCCATGGAAATTCCTGGCTGACCACTAGCTCTTGCGCCTTCAGATTCTGTGGTTAGACCACATTCTCTCTGCCTTTTTCTTAACAGGCATCGCTCATCGTACCTCAAAATTCTTCTGTTAAGCTGTGTGCAGGAGCCTTATAGTTAAAAAAATACATACAAATCTTGACAGTTCGAAATTCATTTGCTCACTGTCTTTCACAAACCACAAAATCTTCCATTTTGTGATTCAATGTTAATGTATCCTGTCGTCCAGCATGGTCTGATTCACTGAGTTTGACTTTTTAACAGGATCACCTTAATCGCATTTGGTAAAATAGATTGCAGATATTTTTCTTCTGGGAAAAAAAGTACTGATTGGTTATGTTTTACTAGTGCCGAAACAGGGACAGTGCAGTCTCCATCTTTTTAAAACCTGGATGGTTTCACCCTGTTTTTTTTTTTTGTCTGTGAGTTTAGGTCCCATTTCTTTCAGTTTTTCTTCTAAAATTAGTCATTTTCTGAAATAAATACGTTGGAATAAGAATGAAACGTTTTATTTTTAAAATATAAAAATCCCTGGGTGCTCTTGTCTTTGGGAACGACAAAGTACAGCATGTTCATCATTCCTCTGGTTGTGTTGTTCAGGCGTTTTCCATTCTGTCTTTGAAGTGTTTCTCGGAGAGTTGCACCTGAACTGCTGTTATCCTGAGGGCGAGCACTCAGTCTCTCTTCCATCACTGTTCCTTAAGCAAGGCTGAGATTAGGGGAAAGTGGAGCTGGCAGGCTGGGGGAGAGCAGACAAGGCTCTTGCAACGATGGTGTCTCCTTTTGCTATATGGACGGCTAATTTTCAGCCAGGGATTGGGGCAGCCATAGAGTAAACCAGAGTTCTCCCTGAGACTCATCTACACCCACCTTTACCTGAATTCCACCCCTGAGATCACATGGCCTGCGTTCAGTTTGCTTTAAAGAGAGACGACTTTTCTACTCTAGAGTCATCACATTCTTAAGACAGTGTACATTTCAAAACGGCAAAAGGCTTTTTTTTCTTGCGCACACTCAGTAGAAGCAGTTTATTGAATCCATTCCCATAGATGAGATCGTTTGGATTAGTTAGATTATTAATAATGGCTGTTGTTAAAAGCAACTGGAATCTTTTCTCATGGATGTGTCATTTTGGATTAGTCTGATATTAATAATGGCTGTTGTTAAAAGCAACTGCCTCTTTGTTTTTACCTTTTCATTTCTGTTTCTCTTCTACAGTGTTCCTCCTGGCATTGCTGGCTAACTCTTACCAGTCACTGTGCACAGTCAGAATCATGGTCTCAGCTCTATTGCTTGAGAACAGCAACCTTAACTTACCTGCCTCTTGGAAAAGAAGGGCAGTTGTGACTTTACAGCTATTAACTGCAATAAATTTAGAACCATTTCCTGGCTCAGTTGGAGTACTTTGTGCTAAGATCTTTACTACAGTCACTGTTAAGACTTATTATTACCTTCCCTTTATGATGCACCTTTGCACCAGGTATATTGGGTTCTGCTTTATCACAGAACAATTGAAAAACTCAAGCAGTATTTAACATATTTCA